TTGTTCAAAAGTCTCTTGCTGAATTCCACCATATTAATAACAACCAGCTAGTTTCCAAGTTTTCAAGGCTCCTGGATGACACAGTTTGTTTCTATCTATCTCAGTATGATGTCAGGCCTGGTTGAGGAACAGAAGCTGCTTTAGACATCTAAGGGCCCTTCCAGATTGGCCCTATACTGTATCACAGGATCCGATCCCAGATTTTCTGTTTATCCCAGATTATCTAGCAGTGTGGACTCATATAATCCAGTTTAAAGCAGAAAACCTGAGATCAGATCCTGGGATATAGGGCCTGTCTGGCAGGGCCCCTTAGTGGAGGATTCATGCTACAGAATAGACAGGAAACAGCTCATGCTTTATCCATCATTGTATCAACAATAAACTGTTTTGATTTCAAGTTAGTATTTATCTTCAGTGGACTGGATGAGGGTAAATACACTGAAGGGTAACTCAGGCAAGGTAATTCTGATTAGTCAAAGGGCAAATTAGGAAACAGTGGTTCAACCTGTGTTAGAATAGGTTGCATTTTACCTAAACATTCAGATTCAGTTTGATCGTCTCCTGAATTCAGCCACTAGCGTATATACCCAGGTTTTAGCAATGGTGGGAACGTATCTGCTAAGATAAAGCTAATGTTCTAGCTGTATCTATTTCCTGAAGATATTAGATTGGCCATAATGATGCATTCCTCCATTATATCCTGTAACATTAGGGCTTACAAAATTCCACAGGTCCCATGTGATGCAACTAGGCTGTGCAGGACACATGGTTCCAGGGATAACACTTAACCAGCTACTATCGTAACTTAAGGGAATGTTGTTGTTCATTCGTTCAGTCGTCTCCGACTCTTCGTGACCTCATGGACCAGCCCACGCCAGAGCTCCCTGTCGGCCGTTACCACCCCCAGCTCCCTCAAGGTCAGTCCAGTCACTTCAAGGATGCCATCCATCCATCTTGCCCTTGGTCGGCCCCTCTTCCTTTTGCCTTCCACTTTCCCCAGCATACTTGTCTTCTCTAGGCTTTCCTGTCTCCTCATGATGTGGCCAAAGTACTTCAACTTTGTCTCTAGTATCTTTCCCTCCAGTGAGCAGTCGGGCTTTATTTCCTGGAGGATGGACTGGTTGGATCTTCTCGCAGTCCAAGGCACTCTCAGAACTTTCCTCCAACACCACAACTCAAAAGCATCGATCTTCCTTCGCTCAGCCTTCCCTAAGGTCCAGCTCTCACATCCGTAGGTTACTACAGGGAATACCATGGCTTTGACTAGGCGGATCTTTGTTGCCAGTCTGATGTCTCTACTCTTTACTATTTTATCGAGATTGGACTTAAGGGAATAAGTGTAGCTATTTCCAGGTTTAATTAAAAGTGCTCATTATCTGTAGAATAGTCACTGTCACAGTCAAACCTAGTGAGGTTGAATAGACAAACTTTCTCCATGACAATTCCCATGTATGAAACTCCCTTCCAAGAAGCTAAGCTGGTTCTCTCCTTGTTCTCCTACTAACAGGCAAACATCATTTTTATTCAGGCTGACCTTTAGCAACTACCATATTTCATCACATAATAGTAGCACTTCCCCCCTTCTTTTTGGAAAAAAGAAGGAGTATGAATGTTATGTGAGGAAGAAACCCATCCATCCACCTGCCCAGTCGCCCATCCACCAAAGATCCTCCCTCTCATTTATAATCACACACACTCTTGAAGTGGTGTTTCTGGAAAGGGGATGGTCATCGAATGGATGGGTGACCGAGTGGGAGTAAGTGAATGATGGAATGGGTGAAGTGTGGGAGTGAGTGAGCCAGCCGGGTGGATTGGTGGGTGACTGAGCAAACATTTGAGTCTTTGGGTGGTTTAATGGGCAAGTGGATGAACTGGTAAATCAAGGGTAAACTATTACATGAGGAAAACAAAAATACTATTGCACTTAATATCAAATCAACTTAATTTTATTTAATATAACTTCTTATGATAGTTTTAATTGCAACTTTAAAAAACATGTTTTGAGTCACAGTTCTGAAGAAAAGGTGCAACACTAATTAATAACCATCGATGCCCTCTCTCTTGCATTAATAAACATACATAAAATTTAAAATCAATACATGGCACACTGAAAAAAAGAATCAAGTTATTATTGAATTCAAGCAGGATAAATTGAATCTGGGTCTATTACTAAATCCCAACCTCTCAGGCAATATAGAAATGCAAAATAATATGTCTTCTGAAGCAATGCATGTATAATGAAAGGCTGCACACACTAATAACACTTCTAGGCATGATCTTATGTCTGAAAATGTATGACATCAAAGCTTTGTTGATTGAAAAAAAATAAATGCTGATTGGCTGTTGTATATGTAGAAACTGTTTAAATATGAGACAAAGCTGAGAAAAGTTCCCAAACTACCCAAGCTTCTGAATCAAAACAGATAACAAGAATCCCAGAAACCTTCTAAGAGGTAAGTGTACATTGGTAAATGAGCATTTTTTAATCTTTATTATTTACTGATAATTCTCTACAGAGGGACACAATACTGGTTACATGTATTTCTATGTTTTTCTTTTCAGAAGAATTTAGAATATTAAGAAGTTTGAAATAAAAACTTAGCTTTCAATAATATCCAGCTTTCAAGATCTTGCAGAACTGTTCACTGATTGTTTTAGGTCTATAATATCAGCAGCCATTCTTAGAATTTAACCTTGTTTTGTTTTAGCTTTATTTTGCTTTTATTCCACTTCATGATCAAGTAATCCTCAAATAAGTGCAATCAAATGATTTTTAATTAATTTTTGACAACAAAATAATAAGCTAACTGGTTAGTTTCAAGAAACACAACTTTTTAAGAATTACGGAATCATACTCATACAACTACAAAATGGATAGATACCACAAGGGCCATGCAGACCAACCCCCTGCTATGCAGAAAAATACAAGCAAAGCACCCCTGACAGATAGCCATCAAGCTTCTGCTCAAAAACCTCCAGAGAAGGAGACTCCATTACACTCTGACACAGTGTATTCCGCTGTCTAACAGGTCTTGCACTCAGGAAGTTCTTACTACCATTTAGGTGAAAACTTCTTTTCTACATATTGCATCCTTTGCTCTCTGTCCTAGTCTCCAGAGCATAAAAAACAATCCTGTCCTCTCCACAATGTTATATCCTTTAAAATACTTAAACATGGCTATCTTGTCCCATCTCAGCCTTCTTTTCTCTAAGCTAAACAGACCCAGCTCCCTAAGTTACTCCTCACAGGGCTTGGTTTCCAAACCTTTGCCTATTTTGGTTGCCCTTCTCTGGACATGTTTTGGTTTGTGAATATCCTTCTTGAATTATGGTGCCCAGAACTGGACAAAGTATTCCAGGTGAGGTCTGCCAAAGCAGAACAGAGTGGGATTATGACTCCCCTCAATCTCAGCACTATACTATTGTGTAGTAATTTGGTACTTTAGATATATTCAGCACTGGATTTACCATCGTGCTTAGGTTTGCTTACACACTGGACCCTGTTGGCCAAGGGGGGGCCATATTACTGCCATTATTTTTACAATGGATTTTGCTTATGTGATGCAATTCTAAATTTGATGGTGTTCTGTTTTGGAGTGATTCTAGATATAATGATAGAACTGATAGTCTACGGGAGTGTGCCACAAAGCAGACAGTATAGGCCAGCTGGGCCTACCTTCGTTGGGGCCCAAGGAAGGGGCTTCATAACTCAACTAGCACAGGGCCTCATTTGTCCTAAATCTGTCACTGGGTATATCTCTTCCAAGGATTGGAAAAAGAAGTCTATAGTGAGAGGGGAAAGATGAACCTTCAATGCTTCTTCTTGGCCTCAGTGGAAACCTCCACAGACTTCACAGTACTAATATTGAACTCTGAAACCTTAAAGCAGAGGTGTCAAACTTTGTAGCCCTCCAGATGTTTGGGTCTTCATCTCCCACAAGCCCTAGCCAACTTGTCCAATGGCCAGGAATTTTGGGAGCTGAAGTCCAAAACACCTGGCAGGCCATAAGTTTTGCCTTAATTGTAGCATGTCATAGGTATCTTAGGGGAGGCCCCAAATTTGTAGGACCCAGAGTACCCCCAGCCTTCACACAGCTATCTAATATGGCAGGAAATTCATGACATTCCTTGGTTACATGGGAAGCAAAACATTAAAAGAAGATAAAAACAGTAACAGGGCAGGGAAAAGGAAAGGAAAGAAAGGGGCAGCTCCTATATTCTTTGTAGCTTGCTGGTGTAAACCCAATAGAATTTTGGATTAACAGATACAGTGACTTGCTATCATCCTGTCCATAGTTACACTGATTTTCAGTTCGAATGTAGTCCTATCAGCTTTAGTGACCCATAACATTTCCTATTTGAAATTAAAACTGCCTGCTAGTTTTGAAAATATACTAGAGGAAACAATTTTGGCTCTTTTTTCACTTAGCCTGGAACAGAGAGGAGGAAGTGCTTGCTTTTTCCCATTTACATGGATCAAATGAAGGACAAGTTTTAACTTTCACTTAAACTGTTAGTTTATTAGTATCCCGTGATGAAATCTTTCAGTCTACTAATGCAGTATTTTCTCACAACGTTGCATAATTGAGGGGGAAAAGCTTTGTAGTACTTAGAACACGAGGCATGCAAATTGTTATACTAATCCAATCTCAAATTATGATGTTAACCCCCCCCCCCAAAAAAAAAAGAGAGAAAGAAACACTGCAGAGAGATGATCTTTTGCAACTCCGAAGGTGAGCAAGACCATCATTTAATTGTGGATCTTCACTAGATCCTCAGTGGTGAGAACTGGTGTGCCAGACTTTTTCATTGTACTAAAAGGGACTTAGATTGGATTGTATCCAAACCCATTAACATTCAACTGAGACAACACAGCTCTCTTTACATTTGAAAAGTTAGTTTAACACAGAACAGATGAGATATACCAATATTAATTATGTATGTTTGTGTGCTTTGAGTTGACCTATCAAGGGAAAAAAGGTTTTTCTTTTATATTACAGGACCTGCAATGAGGAAGATGGAGGGCTGGACTTTGATTGTGTGCCTTTTAAGTACCACATTAGCTATGCCGGTAAGTGCCAGTTACTAATGTCAAATAACTGAATGAAAGCAATTAGTGAACAGTGAACAGTTAATGACAGTGAAGGTTTACACTTCAGTAGGAGCAAATGTCTTACTCTGAGTACAATCCTCCCTTTGAAGAATTGTTAAAAACCTCTAGATCTGGTTTAAAGATAACACTGCATAAGAAGAGAAAGTGGGTGTCACCCTTAATAACCCTCTAGAGAAGGGTATTTACCCTTTTTCTGTTCCATGAACCCTTTCCTAGTCAAGTAAAAATCACGGCCACTTCTCAGAATGTAGAAGAGAACCAATTTATGACACTCAAATTGGGCATATCTTTAAATTAATCCTAAATTAATTTTTAGAATTATTCAAAATTATGTTTCACAACTTTCCCACAATTTAAATACCTGATAACCTAAAATGTGTAACGTCTGTTCAAATAGTCATTTTCAGCAAACATTTAGAAATCTGAGTTTGCCATGTTCACTATCCTTACCAACCTTTTTGCAAGCTGTTATCCTCTGCAACCAGAACACAATGCAGCCAAATAAAAACCTCACTAAGTTTATACTATGCAGCATGGACCTCAGTTAAGAACATCTGCTCCAAATAGTGGATGAAGCAGTCACAAAGGTCACACCATCACAGTTGTGTCCACTATACTGTATTTGTGTTTAATTCCCAATACTTAGTTCTAACTTTACTCCTGTAAATACAGAAAGTCCCATAGTTACAAACATCTGACTTACAAACCATTCATAGTTATAAACAGAGGTGAGACAACAGAGAACAGTGAGAGAAATCTACCTCTAGGAAGAGAAATTTACTCCTGAAAGAATTATTGTGGGGGAAAGGTGTCTCTACTGAAACCTCATCATCCATCTTTATTTACACAACACACATAAATATGTTCATTTTTCTAATTAAAATATGTCACTATTTTTTTCTACAGTTGCCACAACATCCTGGTTATGTCAATTTCAGTTACGAGGTACCAATTTCTAAATTCTCTGTTATACTCTTGTTTTTCATATTAAATCAATACATGATAGATTACATCATTACTCTTAAATCACTGATTCTGGATCCACTGCTAATTTGATGTAGCATGGTTAATTACAAAGCTTATGTATCAGATGTTCTCAATAAATATGGAATGTGTTGGGAAAGTATCCTGTAAATCAGAAAGGACACAATGTGGTGGAGAAATAAATGTTTTCCCCTCCATGTCATTATGTTATACTACAGTTTTTGTAGAAAAGCATATTATCAAACAAATATCCTTTCAAACCATATGCAGTATTAAATGTGCATGTATCCAACTCATTATACCAATACCAAACTCCAACTTCAAAAGTACAGTATAGTATTGGTTACCTGAAAAATCTATTCAAGCCAGATTGGAACTTAGAATGAAGGTTCAATAAAGATGGAGAAATAGGCTCGAGAAAGCTGGTTTTGCATGTTTCACTGGGAATTGAATGTGTAAAGAAGATTTATGTCATATCAGTTTTATTTATTGAAGACATGAAGAGAAAGGGAATAGAATGCCGACAAATAATCTTTATGAAAACCAGTACATGTTCATCAATGTGTGTCATATCTCACAAAGTAATCTATTTGAACAGTCATGAACTGTCATGAACACAAGAACTGCTTTTTATATATCTTTCAGGTGATGACACCTTTGAAATGGTACCAGAGCCTAATTGGACACCAGGTATGTCCTCTATGATATAGCCACATTTTCAAATACAGTTGATCTGTACTAAGTTTAGGATTTTTGGGAGTGCAGTATATAAACTTAGCTCTCCTAATGGTTAAGAACAGATCCATGGGGGATATTCTTCTCAGTTCACCAAAACTATTCACTCTTTGCTCCAAGACAATCTTGCTGATCCAATGAGTTATGGTTACAAGCCTATAGAAAGCTGAACTGCAGTAATCACATGCACGCTACCACAGATTACTGTTTCGAGTCTGTTTCAATGCTCAAACAATTTAACAAATCCAACCTGTGAAGTGAGCTTTTTAAAAAAACTTTACATTTAGACTGTTACATGACAGTATGTATCAATATCACTGCTCGTAATGCATTAGCCATGGTGCTCATTAGTGTGATAGAAGATGGTGACACAGAAAAAAGAGAGAAAGATGGGAATATTGGGTTTGTACAGGTAACATGGGATACAACACCAGCTCCCACTATAATGTGAACTAGCAAAAAGCTGATTCACAAGAAAGAGACACTGTTCTTTTAAGTGATTTGAGTTAATACTTCAACACTTGCATGTTTGTGTTGCATTTCTATTCATTTAGGGAAAAGTTTGTTGTGTATATACTTGTGTACACAAATTGGCATATGCATGTATTATTTATGTGTTTCTCTATTAATTTTATTAATAGCTATCCTTCCCTATACCATGTTATCGCAGAGTAGCATAAAGGAGCCCCCAATGGCAAAATGAGTTAAACCCTTGTGGCAGCAGGACTATTGACCAACAGGTCAGTGGTTCGAATCCAGGGGAGAGCAGGTTGAGCTCCCTCTGTCAGCTCCAGCTCCCCATGTGGGGACATGAGAGAAGCCACCCACAAGGATGGTAAAACATCAAAAATCCGGGCATGCTGTGGGCAATGTCCTTGCAGACGGCCAATTCTATCACACCAGAAGTGACTTGCAGTTTCTTAAGTCACTCCTGACATGAAAAAAGAGTTGCATACAGGTAATACCTATTTGAGCAATTTGAAACAATTCAGAATTTAAATTTCAATAGCCAGATAAATCAGATTTTAAAAGTATTAAATGATTTATCAAGTTAAAAAAGTTAAATTGGTGAAAGACGTTAAAACCATGCATGTGTACTTTTGAAAAAAAATACATTAGAATCCAAAGGCTTTAACAAAACGCAATGTTTTAATTTGATTCCAGAGCAAAGACAGAACTGACAGAAAGCCTAGGCTTTTAAAGACAGGAGTTACACTCTACCAACAAAGGAGTGAAGTTCCACACTAGCTTTCACATTTACATTTTTCATGGTTTGTTTTGTCTTGTCTGGTAATCAATATTATATAACTGTAATAACCAAATTTCATTTCCTCTTACAAGTATCCACGTTATAGCTTTGAACCAATGGGAGGATGGATGCACCATGCTTCAGGACCAACGATGCACCAAACTGCCTTTCAAAACAATCCTTCAATGCACCCAACTTTCCATCAAATGCAGCCACAGCATCCAGTGCTGAACCCACACATGCAGCAGCCTGGGCACAACTCATTTGGGCCAATGGCTGGTCCAAATACATTGATGCCCCAGTTTCAACCAGCTCATGGAGGACCAATTCAGCATCCATTCTCACCACATGCAGGAGAACACCCAATTCACCCCCAGCAACATGGGAACCCAATCCACCCAATGCACCCTCAGCAACCAGCAAATCCAAATCCACCAATTTACCCAGTTCAACCATTACCCCCACTGATATCAGATACACCTCTTGAAACATGGCCACCAGCTGACAAGACCAAGCAAGAAGAAGTGGTAAGAATTTCTGTAACATTGCCATGTCCATAATATAATGAAAACAGTACCCTATGTAGATATGTTAAAAGCTTATTATGTCCCAAATGCTATTTTTTAATGGTACTCTCCTCTCTTCTTACCTAGTAGCTTTGGAAAATTTAGTGTCCTATGTTATCCCACATATGTGAAGTGATTAGAAGTGCAACTACAATAATATTTCCCATATTTATGAATAAGTTACCAGAAGAATGACTATAATAGCATGATGCTAAAACATAAAAGTGCTGTGGCCTAAACAAACTACTTTATTGTGGCAGGATCGTCCAAGGATAGCATATGCTTTCAGCCACAGAAATTTGTCACATAACAATTATGTTAATGAATTCATCCATAGTACAGCCTACGAGCTAGTTCTTTCAAATTAAATTCAGAGGATTATCCACTTCAGGTGAAAAGCCAAACTATTTGCCATAACAGACCAGTCATTTTTCCTAACAGCAAGGACTACATCACATCTTATTTCAAATTTTAAAAACAAATCAATGCTTTTCACATCATAACTACATGAATATTTGAAATTGCACAAGACCACATCAAGTTTCCAAGACTTTGTTTATGTATAAATATGTAAACAGCATAGCCCAGTAGACAACCTTAACGTGTCGGTCGTGGCCGCATATAACTGGGTCTTCACCTTTAACTTTATCCTATTGCAAATGCATTGGTGAATCAGTGATTTTTATTTCACTTCATTGAAATAAGCAGGTATTCTGTAAGAATCAGCTTGTAATGTTGGCTTTCCCCCCTTCTCTTCCAGGACTAAAAGACCCAAGAAACCAGAATAATGCAAAGAATAATGTAGGTCTTGTCACTTGCTTTCAAGAACCCATACTTTTACTGCAGTCAGTGATATATGGTTCCATTAACCCACATTTTTAGTAACTGTTGTAACTAGAGGACAAACTAATGTGAAGTAGCAAATAATAAAACATGTTTTGATCAATACTCAGTGTGTTTTTACTTTTTGAAGTGTATTTAACAAATTCAGTCCTACAACAACATTGGCTTGGGAGCAAGGTGGGGCCCTCCAGACAGGTGCTTAACCTGGAATAAGAAACTGGCATTAAGAAACTGGTATTAAGGGGAGTCCTCACCCAGAGACATTAATTTCGGAAAATGGTCTCATGGTATTCAGAAAGGTTTAGATAATGCAAATTGAAGGGAACCGCAAAAGGTATGGGACGTCTGGCAGAAGTTTTCTTTAATTTTTTTTTCTTATTGACACTCCATGATGTGCTGCATCTCATAAGCGCTGATGCGGATTTAACAAAGTGCATACAGGCAGATTTCCTCCTCACCATTTCTCCTCACCCTCCTGGTGCCTTCAAGTTTGCCCTCTTGAAGCCTGTTTTCCTCGTTATATAATTACAAAAATATAGCATCAAATGTCAAAAACATGTTAGAGTGTAACTGCTATGAGGAAAATCTATCTAAAGGAAACATTTTAAAATGACAGCACATCAACACTTGCCAAAGGGTGGCCATTAAAAACCAACAACAAATTCACTGATTTACACAATACAGGTGGAACATCCCTTAAAAACAGAATCCTGACATCTGAAATACTTCAAAATCCAAAATTGTCCACATTTCAGCTTTCTGATGGTTCAAAATATGCAAACTTTGTTTTGCACACAAAAGTATTACAAATTTGTGTATAAAATCACCTTCGGGCTATATAACTAGAAATACATTAAGTATTACTTTTAAAGATGTAAGTACTTGACATATATTATGAGGGGAAAAAATATTTTATCATATGATAAGAATTCCCTCCACATTAGAGCTGAGAACAGGAAGGGAATGGGACAGAAAACATGATTAATCAGGAAGTAGCTGTTGATTTTGAGCCAGAAATCTTCTGTTTGCCAATGGAGAAAAAGGCTGCAGAAAGTCTCAGGAGCAATTTCAACTGGTAAGAAGTGAGTATTTGTTTCCCACTGCAGATTCTAAACTCTACTGGGACTGGGAAAGGACTGGCACCATTTACTGGTCACCTCGTGCCATTCCTAAAGTTGCTTTTTGGAACTTGAGGGATGAAAGAGGTGAGGGATTGGCAAAAGGGGGTTTGGAAGTAGACTCAAGCTTTTGGCATTTAGAGACATTATGACAGCAACACTCTCAAGAACCCCGGATCTTTTTTAGTCTTCTGTCACCTCCCTTTCTTTCCTTAAAAAATTGGAGAAGGAACTAGTTTTCATTGTTTTCATCTCACTGCTGCTGAGATTTTGCTGAGTTACACATAACTGGTTGTATTTCTATTTATAAATCCCTATATACAGCTGCTCATGGGATGCATTTCACAACTGTAGATGACTCAATTGAAAGTGGCAGGAACAGGAATGTGTATGCTAACAGATTTATTTCTTGAGCTTTCAAAGGCTTTCTTTCTTTCTGTCCCTCCTCTGCCTCTGTTTATACAGGGGTAGTGGATCAGAATCAGTTGAAATACCTCTTCTAAAAAATTAGAAATGTGTGTATCTTATTTGCCAAAGATTGCTGGTGCTTCACCAAACTACAAGTCCAAAGATTCCATAGCATTAAGCCATGGCAGTCAAAGTGATGTCAAATTGCATTAATTCTGCAGTGTAGATGCACCCAATGGCATTTGAGCAAGGCAACAGCTCAAAAATCAGACTCTGTTTGCAAACCATTCCAGTACCTGCCAAACTATGAGAATATGCAGAAAAAGTATAGTATTTTTTAAAAAAAAACTCATGGGGTCCTTTGCTGCTTTAGCAACAGGTTATTAAAAGAACATCCAGGGCCACTGCAAACTGAGAAAATGCAGGGTTAAACACTTTTTTGGCAGTGTAGACAAATCCTTGACTGACTGCATTTCGATGCAGTTACATACAGTGGGCTCTTGGTATCCACTGAAGTTTGGTTCCCCTGTAGGTGGCAAAATCTGTTAATGTCCAATCCCAGTATAAACAATGGCATAGTAAAATTGTATGCCTTGTATAAAATAGCAGACAACTCTAGTGAGTGCAGGAGAGAGGCTGAGGATATGTGAAATGATGGTAAGGCCATGCTTACACATCAACATAGTGCACAACATGTGGCAAAAACAAGGTTTCTTTTTTTGAATTTTTGTTAATGAATATTTTCAAGACATGGTTGGTTGAATCCATGGATTTGGAGGAGCCCACTGTGCAACTGTTTCTTGTTACAAGAAGAAGTTTCAGCAAGTCCTGAAGGTTCACCCTTTACTTGCTTCTCTTCTTGTGACCTATAAGAAGCTTTTGCAGTGTATTGCTTCCTGTGTTTGTTAGCCAAAGGTTGTGACGACTATGGCAGAACTCATTCAGAACATGTAGCTTTTCCCACAGCGATAAACTCCAAAATCCCATTATATCTGAACACAACCATTCAACACAATATAAAATATTGGATCTTGGCTGACAGGTGTCTTGATGAATTGAAACACTACAAAAAGCCCTCTTAAAATATTCAATTTTCTTGTTTTCTCCAGTTGTTTGTGTTGCAAGTTTGCATGTCACTTGAAAATGTACTCCAGAAAATGAGTAGGTTGTGAGCTATTGCTGAAAAATCACTGAATAGTGCCCTGATGGAATGGAAACAATTACTACACTTGTCACTAACGTAGATTGGATTAATATTGAAGCCAAAAGAAAGAAATACTGTAGATATGTTTTGGATCCAGGAGAGTATACTCCCCTTATATTACATCAAAAACAAAAAAAAGTTTTCCCTGTCAATATATTTGTTGATATTTCATCCTTTAGTTGGAGCAAAATGGTGTTTTGAGCCAATTTGGAGAAATAGTGCTTTGTTCTAAGGACCAAAATAGAATATGGGAATAAAAACTAAATCCCTTCAGAAAGCATTTATAAACATTCTGAAGTTAGCACATGAAATAAAATACAACATATCAAGTATGTTTCATCTTAGAAACATTTGAGGTTTGTCATTTTTAATTAAACAATAGGTACTGAGCTTATTTCACTTCTACAGCAAATTCCATAAAAGTGCATGTGTGACAATGAGCTATATCTTTATGTGCAGTAAAATTACTGTTCTTATGAGCACTACAACACTGTAACATTAGTGCTGTGAGTAAGCATACATATGCTACATATTTACATGTTGGCATTCGTTTTCCTAACTATTCAGCTTTTAAAGTCTCCGGGCACACACACAATTTATTGCCTTTTTAGAAATCTTATTATTATTATTAACTTTTTCAGTTCTAAAACATTGTACCTACTGAAAAATATTAATAGAACCACTAGCTACATAGATCAGCTGTTTTGACAAGCAAGTATTTCCTTAAAACCATTCCGTGAAGAAGATTTGAGACTTACAACTAGAATTCAGGTTATCTCATGCTGTCTTAACTACCACAATGCCAGGAAATTAAAGTAAAGACTGGTGCTGCTCCAAAATCAAGAATAAAGTTTGTGCAATGTCATAAATTCTGTTTGCTTAGAAATTACTGTGCCTTGGTCTCTCTGGGGAAAAAATCAGATTGAAAGAATAAAACCAATAAAAAGCACACACTGGCCTCATTCTCTATTGCTTGTTGCACTCACACATGGATGTAACTCAGCCTGTAACATCTGATTCATTTGTGCTAGAGATGCATCACAGACAGGGGCGGCTCAACCCATTACGCAAAGTAAGCATTTGCAGTATAGTTGATTTTGCCCAGGGGTGCTCTTGGGGGAAAATAGACCTTGGCATGTGCAAGTTGAAGTTACTGGGATGCATAGTTCACCTACAATCAAAGAACATTCTGAATTCCACCAATGATGGAATTGAACCAAATATGGCACACAGAACTCCCACGACAAATAGTTGGCATGAATCACTTTTCAAAACTTTTTAAAAATATGCTAGGGCAATTAAAAGCAATGAAGAAAACCTGATCCTTAAAATATCTGTATTTGCAAGTGTTGTCAAAAACACTGTAAACTCATGGATGTTAATGCACAATGTTCTTGATTTTCTGTCATGTTCCTGGGACAAATCAAGCCACTGAAAAGATCTATAAGGCACTATCATCAAGAGTGATCAGTCCTGAACAAATCAAGTCCATTTGTTCCACTAGCACATTCATATCATCTACCCTTTTAGTCAGAGGATGGAACTGGCAAAGCCAGCTCTGAGTATCCCTTCTCTTAAAAAGCAATTCAAGGCCAATAAATTGATACAAACTCTTCCTCTTCTTTCTCCAGTTTTCTTCCATACATCAGGGATAATTGTTTCATTTTTGGTCTACGCAGGTTTTCTCATCTCTGCCTCTCCACCCGAGGTTTACACAAAAAGGTGTTGAAAAAATGTGAAAATACATACACTGGAAAATACATTTCCAGTTTTGTGTTCCAAAAAAGTATTGTGGAAAAAAATGTCCCATGCCCCTTAAAACACAATGCTGATAAGTTGATCTGAGAGTTCGAGAGTGATAGGGCAACGGGTGCACATGTAGTAGGTCCTTCTAGGAAGAACTAAGCAGAGTGATCAGCATCATAATTAAACATCTTGATTTCTCCATACAGCAGCTAGAAAAGTCACTTGCAAATTCCCTGAGCCAAAAAAGGAGGCAAACAAAAAGGAAAGATTTGAACTGCTCCTCATGGAATGGAGCCATCACCAATAATCTGTGAAACAAATTGAAAGGCACAGTATATATTCAGGGCATGGAAGTAAAAAAAACCTTACAAGAGTTGAATTAGAGAAGCCCCTTGACATCACTGATTTAAAAACATATACTGGCTTACAGCTCCCTATGTGGTTTCTCAAGGTGCTGCTACCTGAAGAAATTTTGGGAATTCAAAAGTTTCATCAATTATGACAACAACAACAACAACAACAACACAAAGATTGATCTAATCATTGAAATACAGCTGAATATAAGCCAACACACTAAGTTCATATTCTCAAAAGGAAGGCTATGTGTTAGACTGGATATCCGCTCTCCA